AACTATCATAGAAGTGTTGTTGTTGTTGTTTTAATCCTCTCTTTTCAACATAAACTGATGAATAAAAACAGATCCAGAGACAGAGAAGCATTGATCAGACCATCAAACCTCAGAGAGAAGGTATGGGAGGGTGGGAGTTAAGGAAGAGAGATCAAACAAAGGACTGGTATGCATGCATATAAGCCTAACCAATGGTCACAGACACCAGGGGATGAAGGCATGAGTGGAAGGTGGGGGTTTGGGGATGTGGGGGCAATGGGGGAATAAGGACACATATCTAATACCCTAATCAATAAAGAAAATTAAAAAAATAATACTTTACTATATTTGGTCATAGGTTCCATGAGAATTTGATATAGTTTAATTTCACTAAAGATAAATATTTATATTTATTGAGTTCAAGGAAATTTTTAGTAGGAAATTCAATGGTAAAACATAAGGAAATTAGGAAGAAAATCATATTACATTCAAAATCTTCCTATCAGACTTATACTATTTTTATTTTTCTGATAAATTCCATGAAACCTGAAGTAGGTCTGTTGAGATGGAAATTATTTCTCCTCTCAGTGATCCCCATAGTATTTTATTAGTATATTTCTTATGGGTCCATCATAAGTGTCAGCTATTTATTTTACTTGTCCTATATTTTATGTAATAGGCTATATGCAATATTTAATATTATACATTTTTATGTTTATAATAATTAATATACAAAAATTTACCCTCCTATCTAAATAAATTACTTGAGGACACTGGTACAACATACATTTTTACAAATCCTCAGCAAGTACCAACGAAACTTAAATATAAGACATGCTTAGTATATTTTTGCTAAAAAAATAATATTTATTTTATTTTATTTTTCTTATTGAATTTATTGGAATGCCATTGGTTCACAAAACCATACAGGTTTCAAGTGTACAACTCAACAAAATATCTGCACACTACATTGTGCACCCATAGCCCAAAGTCTTTTTCCATCCCCATTTATAACCCTTAGCCCACTTCCATGTGCTCCCACCCCTCTTTCTCTCTATCACCACACTGTTATCTGTGTCTATGTGTTTATATATATATATGTCTTTTTTTGCTTAATCTCTTATCAAAATGTCAGTAGACAACAATTTAAAAAGCAGATCATACGTAAGAATCAGACCTACTGGCAATTGCTAAGTTTGAATCCTACTGCCTGGACATGAAAGGAACAAATATAGCTTTAGAATATAAACGAAAAGGAAGTAAAATTCTGCTCTATTTGTTGCAGAATTTTGCTTATTTATTATCAGATTTAGTCATGAGCACAACCATCTAATTTTTTTGATTCAATAAAATTAGCTTATTATGCTACCCTGCAATAATGACATTAATCAAAATATACTTAAGTATATGTAACATCTATGTAATAAATGTAATGGAGGCACTCAATTATTACTTCCATTTCTCTTCCTGTGTTTTTCTACAGCTACCTCCTCACACTATGATTGTCAATACTTCTTATTTATTTGTAAAATACTAGTTAATTAAGTCATAAAGTATAACTTAAATTCAAATAGGCAAATTAGGTTTTTTAATTCCTTTTCATTTTAATACAATGATGAGGGTGATATTAATATATTCTTTTAATTTGTCCATGTATTTCTCTCATACACAAGTTTTATGGCATTTACCCTAAGATATCATACTGCTTTTCTAAATGAATGTGGGATATCTCTTGAAACAACTGAGGTCTAGTGGAAATAGCACTAGCTTTGGTATTGTAATACATGTGTTCTGATTTCAGTCCTAACACATATTCTTTACATGATCTGGGTTTCTTAATCTTTAAAGTAGAAATAATAATGCTCACCTAATAAAACTGTTATATATTAGTGAATATATACATCTTTCTATAACAATAAAAGCATAATATGCTAATTAGACCAGACGTCCTTCCGGAAGTCCTTCCAGACGACCTTCGGATGAAGCCGCAGTGGGGGGTGGGGTGGGGGAGAGGGGCCATGGCATAGATGGCCGTGGTGGCAGGCGGGGGCTGAGGCAGAGGTACCTGCTGTGGTGGCAGGGGCCGAGCCCCTTGCAAAAATTTTGTGCCATTGGGCCTCTAGTGTCGAATAAAAATGGAGAATGTGACACAAATGTAATGTTGTATATTTATCATCATAATATGTCCAAAAGGCAAATTGGTCGTTTTTAATCCTTATTCCCAACACATCTAACTCAAAAAATAATAGTATGGATAGTAAAAAGTTAAGCAACAATATAGGTAAACTAGAGGCCCAGTACACAAAATTTGTGCACGGGTAGGGTCCCTAGTGGCTGCCAGCTGCCGGCCGGGGCCTTGCTTTGTTCCATGCCAACCCTGGTGGTCAGCGCACGTCATAGCAAGCGAGCGAATTCTCGGTCGGTCGAACTCCCAAGGGGACACTTTGCATATTAGGCTTTTATATATACCTAAAACTCTGACTGGTGATTTCTGGAAGCATAGAGGTGGCCCTTGCTCCAATCAAGGATGATCAAATTAATCAATGAAAACAAAAAGCCCTAAAGTTCTTCTTTAATGTAGATTATCTCCTTTTAACAAGTACCGCTTCTTTAACATAGTATTTTATTTTATTTTATTTTATTTTTTTTTAACATAGTATTTTAACACACAGAGAAAATTACCAGAACCTTGCTATATGGCTGGTGAGGTAAATATAAGTGACTTTCATCATCTGTTTGAAGTTTTAACAAGGTATTAAGCTACTGACCCACTAAAATGAATGTCCAATTTCTAACTCTATAATAATTTTCAAACAGATGTTAACATTTTACTTTGTTGTTCCTTAATATTTGTCTTTTGAATCAACTGTAAGCTTCTTCTGGTGTAAATATTTTCTTTCATGCCTTAGCTTTTTGATCACTTTATTTTTCCTGGCTAATGTTTCACATTTTGCTCTTTGATACTTTCTGTTCAGACCCTTTGGGTCTAAGACTTCAAAGTAAGCAAGACCAAATGGCAACATAAGACCAATTCTATCCAAGTATTTTAGATTCAAAAGTTGTTCAAAAATGCTTGATGTACTTTAAGAAAAATCACTTCCTTTTTTCTATTCATCATTATAACCTAAAGCACCTTTAAGTAAAAGGTAACAAATTAATTTTGGTTTATGTTATACTTTTGGGATTCTCTCTCATGCCAAACTGATTCAAACAAAATGAAGAAGCAGAAGGAATCAAAAGATAATTATCACATATAATGAAGGTACTAGATAGAGCTTTATAGTGAACGTATTTTTTATTATAGTTAAAACATAGTACAGGCTATTTTATTTTATTTTATTATTGATTTCAGAGAGGAAGGGAGAGGGAGAGAGAGATAGAAATATCAATGATGAGGGAGAATCATTGATTGGTCGCCTCCTGCAAACCTCCTACTGGGGATTGAGCCCACAACCTGGGCATGTGCCCTTGACCAGAATCGAACCCAGGACCTTTCAGTCCCCAGGTCGATGCTCTATCCACTGAGCCAAACCTGCTAAGGAAAGTGTACGCTATTTTTACAAAATAAGTTTTAGTGTTTGTAACAACAATTATTTGTTGCCTATGACCACAAGTTTTGAAATGCAAAAGTTCAAAATTATGAATTTATGCACCTTAATAAGTAGGTCATCAAAACAAAAAAGAATCCCCAATAAACCATGAGCCTCTTGAGGATAGGAACCTATTTTTACTGATTTTTATCTATCAGCGGCCAGAAGAGAAGGTTCTCAATAAATATTTTCTTAATAAACAAAGGAAAGAATGACTAAACAGTTTATTTCAAGATTGGCTATGTCCTAACAAATGAAAAATTAAAGTAAGAAATCTACAATTTAAATTTTAAAGATATAAGGATAATTTATAAATGAGACCTTTTAAAAATTATCTAATTAATTTTTTAAGCAGAAACACACTCCATTACTCTGATACACAATTCTCAGTGATGGAGTGATTTTAGAGATTCCAAACAGCAAAACACAAATAGATACTATTAAAAACACCACACAACAACTGAAAAGTATGATAAAGGTCCCTAGATTATGAAATGGTATTATATCAATTTTAATTTCCTGGGTTTGATAATTAGTTTGTGGGATGTACAAAAATATCTTACTTTAGAAAATAGAAGCTAAAATATTTAGGTGTAAATGCCATTTTATGCACTAATTACACTTAAATGATTAAAAACTATATTTATACACACATACATAAATATGTATAAGAGAAAAGAAAAAGATAAAGCAAATGTAGTTAAATGTTAATATTTGAGGCATCTGAGTAAGGGGTATATAGGAATTCCTTGTACTAGTTTATAACTTCTATGTATCTTAAATAATATCAATTTTAAACACTGAAAAATTATATTTTTAAAATGTTTAAAAAGCCACCACACAATAAATATAACACTAAGATCTATGTCAAAAGCACACCTTTGAATACAGGATGAAAACACTTTCATTCTTTTCTTAGAGGCCTGCATAAACCTGGATTTCTATACAAGAAGGGATCACTCAAACTTAAACACAGACTTTCAGTTATAGACGCTACCCCTAATATTACCTCTGAAATAATACAAAGACTAAGCTAGAATCTTAATATGCAATTACATATTAAAAACAGGGGATTAAACTCAGAAACAAAGAAAAATAATATGAGAGTGATTTTTCTCAGTGTTTTGAGGAACACACATTAAGTGAAAATCATTAAGTGAAAATCTGGTCAGGATTCTTGCCTCACATTTACCTAATTCTGAATGAAATAAAATTAATTAGTAAAAATATAAGGTAAACAAGGTCAATAATCTGTTAGCCTCTCTGCCAATTCAATGAAAGATCAATATCAGGGAACTTTTGGATGCTGGAAAAATTCATTGTCTACTCTTTTAAAAGTATTTGAAAAAAGTAAGGTATGTTAATAAAGAAAAGCTATAACAAAGATTACAAATTTTAAGACAGAACTAAAAAAAGAAAACATATTCTTACCCAATTGGAAAATCAACATCATCACCATGAGCTGTCATGTGATAAAGTCCAAATTTAGCCAATTTAACATGTCCCTACAAAAATAAAGGAAAGAAATAACTATGAAACATTTTAATATTAGCAGGAAAAATATCATTATACATTTTATAAGTATAGGAACAATTATATAGTCAGATACATTATTTTATATATATATATATATATATATATATATATATAAATTTACCACAATTTTATTAAAAACCTACTTGCCAATGTTTAGTCTACTTTACACTTCTTACAAACATACTGTATGTATGTAAATATACATTTATATGTATGTATATACACACATATATGTATGTATATACATACACAAACATAAACACTTTTTGCTATTTTTACTTTCCAGGATTTCTGACAAAGCAAAAAAGCAAGTCTTCTTGTTTGCCTTGAATGCCTACTTAGAATATTTTAGGGTAATTTTCACAAAATATTTTTTTCAGGATGTTGCAAGTCCATTAATAACATTATAATTTAACTCTGACATGAGAGTTCTTAACTTGAAAACATCAGGTCTGAAATCATCAAATATTATTGAATCTTCTATATTTCCAACCATTTTTTATTTGCTTGAGAACAGTCATAATTATCACAAAATTGAGGTTCTTAATAAAAGGCAAATATATTTTATAAGTCCCTTAAATTTTCCCCTTTTATATATTTAACACTAAAAAAATTAAGTAGATTTCAAAATTGGGTAGTTTCCTTTATCTCAGAACTTTATTTCTAAGCCTTACAAAATGTTTATAATTTATAGAAATTCAGATTGGTTAGATACTTTACTGCTATAAACATGAAATTCATAAGTACCATATTCTCTTTTGTTATTTTTAATATCATAGGGTAACTGTACTGAAAGTCTGGAAGAGAAAGTGGGAAAAAGAGTAATCCTACTAACAGAAAATAATTCCCCAGAAAATATTCCTTCAAAACTATTTTCATATGCTTATGAAAAAGAATGAAATTATGATTATTCCTGAACATACATCATTCTTGCTACCCATAATTCTCTTAGAAGGGTTGACTAGCTTCTTACTAATCACCCATTAGATTTGCAAGTAGAGAAGCAGCACTCCAAAACAAGGGAGCTAGGTGTGAACAAGTGGTAAATGGAGAGTAAAATATAGAAGAGAAAATGGGGGGAGAAATAAAGAGGAGAAAATACAATGCAATTGTACTATGAGAAAAATATGTAAATTGAGAGGTTTTCTTAAGATGAAAGCAAATTCAGAGCAGGTGTGGATCAAGAAGCTACAATGCATATTTTTTTAGGAAATGAATGGAAGAGAAAACAAAACGGATGTCAGAAACTGACTTTTTGGGGAAAAAGAATAATGCATGTGAAAAACACATGGACTTATATAATTTAATTACATATGCTTCTTTCTAACACCACAGATGTATCAATAACTTTCACACAGTCTTTTTGTTATGAATAATCTTAAAACATATTCTTATCCTACTATCTGATTAACTGAGTGGGCTTGATTTCAGTAGCTTCCAACCTCAAATAATAAACAAACATTTAATGTATTATTTGGCAATTACCTTTCGGTCCAAAAGGATATTATGAGGAGACAGCGCCCGATGTACTATCCCATGTTTGTTCATATACTGCAAGCCCTGGAGTACCTCAAATGCTATGCACAAAACCTTTGAATAGCTACAAAGGAAACAAAAAGTCACAGATCAATTACAAAGTAGATATAAAAACCAATTTTAATGAATGAGATAAGGTTTTGTGACAAAATTCAAAGTTAGATTTTTTTTTTACTGTTCCTCTTCTATTAAGAGAAAATAGTCTATACATTTTCTAAAATATCCACTTGTACATATTTTGAGTTTTATAACTATAATAGGATTCATCTAACAAAGATCCTATAGTTTCCTAAAGGCTACACTAATAGCACATCAGTTCTCTCCTGGAAGAGAATTTAATTGAGGTGGTGTGCAACTGACATTCTGTACGTTTGGCTTTGCCAAATTGTCAGGAAAGTTTCAGATAGATGGCTGATTGGTTCTACCAAGTCAATGAAAATCATCTCTCTTGCTCAAAACAAAAATAGCTTAAGTCCCTGAAAAATAGCTACAATATATTTTATGGCAGAGAGACATGATCTTACTTTCTATATCAATCCACAAAGCGACCTCTAGTACTTTATGATTTATCAAACATTTTTCTTTAACTCTTATCTTATTTCCCCTAGGACATCTTCCACAAAGATGCCCAGTTTCTTTTATTCTTTCCCTCTCCATCTCTTTCCATTAAGAAAAAAAAAAAAATCAGACATCATTCATGCGGGGAGTTAGAAATAACATACAGAAAAATAGGGGAAACTCATTCAAACCCAATGCTCCACCCAGCATTTTGATATTAGATTTCCTTTCTATGCATTTCTTGACATTTTGAATTAAGACTTTTAAAAATTAAATTAAAATTTGCAGGTAACCATTAAAAATAATTTTTAAAAAACTAACAAGCTAAATAACAAGAGACAAAATGGAATTATTAAAAAATAGTCAATCAGAAAATAGGCAGAATTAAAGAAAAGAACAAAAGACAAATGAAACAATTAGAAAACAACTAATAGATTTTAATTCAGATGTATCAATCATTACATTAAATGTATTAAGTAAACTCACCAATTAAAAGATAAGGATGATCAGAATGGATAAGAATTAAGAAGACTCATTTATATTCTGGCTATAAGAAACCCACATTAAATAAAAGACAAATTAAAAGTAAAAAAGATGAAATAACAGATCACTAATTGTCATGGGGCTGGGTAGGGGGAATGGGTGACTATGAAGGAGGAAATTGAGTGTGAAGGATCGTAATTTTGATTATGGGTACATGACATATTTGTGCATCTGACCTTCTGCAGGTTTAAACTGTATATTAAAATGGTTAATTTTAAGGCATGTAAATGACACTTCAATAAACTGATGTTTAAAAAAGTAGGCTGAATAACATTATTTTTAAAGTTGCAAAATGACTGCCTCTTCCAAAAAATCGTAAGAACCAGAGATGAAAAACTAAAATCACTCTCTCCTCTCATCCTATGCTGACTTTCCAGAGCTAACCACCCTTAGCAGTTTCTGTTTCAATTTTTCTGGTGGTTAGATTTTTATTTAATACTAGAGACCTGTTGCACGAAAAGATTCCTGCAATAGGCCTTCCCTTCCCCTGGCTGCCTGCACCGGTTTTCCTTGGGCACCCGGGACCCAGGCCTTCGCTCCGGCCAGAGCCACCTTCAAAGCCTTCGCTGCTCTGGCCAGAGCCGCCTTCAAAAGCCTTCGCTGCTCCGGCGGGAGCTGCTTTGATCGCTGCTCCCACCGGAGCTGCCTTCAGTCTTCGCTCCGCCGCTTCCCGCCTACATATGCAAATTAAACGCCATCTTTGTTGGCAGTTAATTTGTATATCTTGCTGATTAGCCAATAGGAAGTATAGCGAAGGTACGGTCAATTACCCTGTTTGTCTATTATTAGATAGGACTAGAGGCCTTGTGTGCACGAAATTGTGTGCTAGCTCACTTCCACTTGCCTCAGCTGGCCACCCCACCCATCACCGCTCATAGCTTGCACCCTGCCTGCTGCCGCTCGTAGCTCTCCACTGCTAGTAGCTCTCTACTGCTCGTAGCTCTCCACCACTAGTAGCTCTCCACTGCGAGTAGCTGGCGCCCCACCCTGCCCACCACGAGAGTCAAGGCTCGTTTGGTCATGACGCTGTTAGAGTGTCACAACCACAGGCCTTTTATGATACAGATAATTAGCTATTCACTATGCACAATGATATAATTTATATACTTCTACAACTTTCCCATTTTCCTTTCCCAACTTCTGATGTTTATTACTTATATTGTTAATTTTTAAATGAGATTTAAAAACCTGCATTCCATTCTTGAAGGCTAACTAGGTAAATAAGTGAATATATAATATGACATATAGTGATCAAATGATAAAGAGAAAAAGTAGAAAATAGAGAACGTAGGGTAGCAGGTTGCTAATTATATATATACTAGAGGCCCGGTGCATGAAATTCGTGCACTCAATAGGGTGCAGGCCAGGCCAAGGGAGCCCACCAGTACACCATCGGGGCTGGGGAGGGACTCGGGAGGTTAGCCAGCCAGGGAGGGGGCGTGGGAGGGCTCCAGGGCATGTCCGACCCATCTCGCTCAGTCCTGATCTGCCAGACCCCAGCAGCAAGCTAACCTACAGGTCAGAGCGCCTGTCCCCGGTGGTCAGTGCAGGTCATAGCGAGCGGTTGAGGAGCTTTAGCATATCATTAGCATATTACACTTTGATTGGTTGAACAGATGACCAAGACTGGACACTTAGCATATTAGGCTTTTATTATGTAGGATATAATTACATATGTATATATAATTATATATATACTAGAGGCCCAGTGCATGAAATGCATGCACAGGTGTAGTCCCTAGGCCTAGCTGGCGATTGAAGCACGAGCGTCTGGCATGAAAGGGCAGGTCCTAGCTGACTTCTGGGCCCTGGGCAGCACCTGGGCCCCTGCACGCCCCCCTCTGCCTGAGTCATGGCGCCCGAGTCCCCATGCAGAGATGCGGTGAGCGCGACCAGATGCCATGGGCCAGGGTGCAGCGTGGGCCTCTGGGCCACCCAGCGGAGCCACATGGAAGCCGGGTGGGCAACGTGCTCTTTCCTGGCCAGCCTCGCAGAACAGCTCCTGCACAAACTCACGGTGAGCCAACCAGCCCCTGCAGTCCTGGCGGCTGCAGCCTGGCTCACCCAGAAGCCCACTGGGGCTGGCAGCACCTCCACTGCCACCTGCTGCCAGTGCCTCATCACCAACGCCCACCATGTTCCACACCGCCCCGTGGTGGTCAGTGCATGTCTTAGTGAGTGGTCAAACTCCCGGTCGAGGGGACAATTTGCATATTAGGCATTTATTATATAGGAGGATATCTTCCATTGATTTCAGAGAGGAAGGGAGAGGGAGAGAGAGAGAAACATCAATGATAAAAGAGAGTCTTGGATCGGCTGCCTCCTGCACGCCCCACACTGGGAATTGAGACCACAACCTGGGCATGTGCCCTGACAGGGAGTCAAACCTTGACCTCCTGAGTCACAGGTCGACGTTCAACCACTGAGCCATGCCTGCTGGACTCTTGTTCTCATTTTAAAGGAGAGAGAATTAAGACTCCAGAGGTCGACTTGCTCAAAACAGCCAAGTTACACAGTGGCAGAGACAGGTTCTAAACACACACTCATGAGGACTCTGTGATAATTGGTTCAGCCAGGGGCGGGTGGACAGACACTGTCTCAGGCATTTCCTCGAGGCCCTCAGATTCCCTGCCTGATCCCCCACCTTCCCTACCTGCCATCAGAGCTGAGGAGGGCAGAGGATGGAAAGGGCTGCCCGCAGTTCACCTGGGAGGAGACGTGGGAGGGGGAGTGAGGGGCAGAGCTGGGAGCACCACAGGCCCCGGGTGGGAGTTAGAAGCAGTGATCTGGATGCTGACCGCCCTGTCCCAGCATCTCAGGAGCATTTCTTTCTCCGGAAGCACCGGGCTGGTTTCAGCTGTTCTGTTCTGTAGTGTGGGAGCCTCTCTGTCCTGAAAACTGGAGTCGGACCACCTGGGCAAGCCCTTTGCATTGGACCCGGAGCCCTTTTGTGTCACGCATGACACGGGTTCCAGGCACAGCTGATCTGTGTATCCACAAGGGGGCTTCATTTTCCTAGTTTCCAACGTTTGCTTTCCATAATACTGTAAATTCTGTTTTGTTGTTTTTTGTACCAAAATAAAATCATTTGCTTGTTTCCGATAAGTACTAGTCATCTTGGGGGGAGGGGATGTGGAGGGATTAGGGCAGCGAGATGGGAATGACCCACCACCTGGATGTCACGGTGGGAGGCTGGTCATGAACATTCCACGTCCTTCGTGTGGAGCTCAAACTAAGTTCTGGGTTTTACAGTCAGACCCTCAAAACAGATGGGATCTGACCCCCAGGCCTCCCGCTGGCAGCTACTGGAGACCCTGCCTTCCTAGGGGCCGATCGGAGCATGTGGCCTCCTTCTCCCTCCCAGCCACATCGTTCTTCACACTCTGGCTTCCCTCCAGCACACCCCAAAGCCGCTACCTCGGCTTCCACAGTATCCACTGTCCCCGCATCGCCCTCGGGGAGGGTGCTGTCGCCTCCTGCTGTCTCCCTGCTTCCGCTTCCCCCTCAGTCTGCTCCTGACACAGAAGCCAGAGGGTGTGTCCCACTGCATCAGCCCAGCCGGTCCTCACCTACAGCCCCAGCGCCTTCCCCTGCACTCAGGGGACGCCAGGTTCTCATGGGCCTTTAATCCCTGCAGGATGTGCCCCCTGACTCAGCCTTGACCCCCTTCCATTCGGCCTCTTGCTCGTCCTGCTGCCCCTCCGAGGGCAGTCCCCTCTGCCCGATGCCCTTCTCCAGGCACTCGCCTGGCTCTCCTCCATCTGCCTGGCTCTCCTCCATCCATCCACTTTCCCAGTGAGCCTCCCTTTGCCCCTCCCCTCGCAGAGCCCCTATGTGGCTTCGTTCCCATGTTTTCATGGTTCCCGTGCCCTCTAACAGCTGCACCTCACGTCTGTCCAAGGCTGTTTCCTCCCCGTACCCCCGTTCTGTCCTGGAGCAACGCATGCCCCTCCCCATAGGACC